AAATTCGGCTTAAGGCCATAGTACTTCATCGATTCCAAGACCTGCATAGCTTCATTACAGTAGCCACTCTTCCCATAAGCACTAATCAAAGCAGAGAAAGTGTACACATTGTTGCCATACCCTTCATTGAAAGCTGTCTCAAAGACGCTCTTTGCCAGCTCCACTTTGCCCAATCTTCCGAGTGTGCTGATCATGGAGCTGGCTAACTTCCCCTTCTCCAGCTTTCTCTTCTCCCTCTTGATGGCAAACTCGAAGCAGCAGAGGGCTCTTCCCCAATCGCCATTGTTGCCGAGCTCACGGAGCATGTAAATGTAGTCGTCGGAGCTGCAGAGGCGAGACTCAAACGCGAGGAGAACGTTCTCGAGGGTTAATTCGTCTTTTCCTGAACTCATCACCTGGCGGAGAGCCTCCTCGGAGATTGGAGTGTGGCGGGAGCCCGCCGTTGACTTAGGTCGACCCAGGTGGAACTTGGAGACGACCCGGGTCGAGCTGCGACCCGAAAAATTGGCGGCGAGGTTGGAATCGGGTGACTTAAGGGGAGCTAGGGAAGGAAAGGCGGGAGCTGTAGCAGCGGAGGAAGAAGCGGCGGCGGCGGCGCTGCGCGTGCCCGGGACCCAGAATTTCTGATTGGGTACCTGGCGGTACTGCTGCGGGTGGTGGTGGTGGTGGTGGTGCTGACGGTGGCTGCTGGTCTGGAAGTTGTTTTGTGTTAGCGGGTTGTTGTGATAAGGCTTCTGGGCGTTGATTGAGAGCGGCGGCGTGGACGCCATTGTCGCTGTTGGTAGAGCTGAGTTCGATTAACAATCGGGACGAAACGGGGGTAAAGGAGTGAAAAAGGGTTGAACTTTTTGAACCCAACAGTCAGTGGGCAGTGATTGCAAGCTTTCTAGGGCGGGAGACAGCTGAGAGCGGCGACGGCCATTTTCGTGCAAAGGATATGGCAGAGAGGCAATAGAAAGAGAAGATGTGTGTAAAATATTCATCCGTGTGTGTGCAAAAATGAGTTCTCCTTTTTCTTTTCTAATCTAAGTTCGGCAGCTGAAACAGAGCATTGGAATGTTCACTTATTTTTATCCAATTTCAGAAAATGTTGATAATGATCCTATGCTAACAAAACGGTCCCAAGAATGGTCATATAAGTTTCGCCTGTTTAACAGAACAGTCACAAATATTTAAAAACTTATATCAAAATGAAAAACGGCATTTACGCTTAATTTCGTGATTCCATCTACAAATCAATTGGGTTGTTGATGTGTCATACGAAAAAACTATCATAGTCAGCTTTTAAAGCTGTGGACGGAAGCACCGTTTTGTTTTTCTATATATACATATATGAATTTTTTGTTAGTTTTTAATGTTTTTGTGACGGTAAATTTTTTCTTTAATTTTTAATGACTTTGTAATAATTTTGTGTCACGCAAACTTGTATTTGTTTTTGCCAATTACTCATATTTTCTTAAACGAAATGGTTTAGTTTGTGATGCTAAACAAATTGCGTAGGGCTCTTGATCTTGCAAACCCTCCAACGTCCAAACCATTAGTAAAACAAGAAAGAGTCTCCTATAGAGAAATTCGAACAAGAAAAGAGTCTCATAATCAATGTGGAGGTTTTGGTTGTTGGAGGGAAACAAAGCAAAATGTACCGGACTACACAAAGAATTGGGGCTCATGATGTAAAGTTACTGTCTTTGAACCATGCAATAAGGTCACCCGTAATTAGACTACATGAAAGAATCATTAAAGCTTGCATATCAATCAATGAAGGGATGAAAGCTTCAACAGATTGTAAAATTTCCCTACATGGCTTCCTTCCCCTCTCCCTCCCCACATTTTGTAGGCAAAAAGGTAAAAACTTTAAATTGAGTTTGGCCAGCAGAAGTTCAGCACTGTATCTCAGTTCAGATACATATACATAAGAACGAATCATTAACCATAATCATGCTTCTCTTATGGAACCTTAACAATCTGGTTTCCCTTCCACGTCTCCTGTGTATGGAATTGGAGCACATTCACTCGGGCCAAAAAATCTAAGCAAACTTCTGTGGAAAGAATTCTGTTCTTGAGTAGTGTAAAATTTGCAGTTCCCTTTTAATTAACAGCTCCCCAAAACCTGTCATATGGACACAAAGGGAAGCATAGCTGTTGAAGAAGTGCTGCAGAAAGAATGAAAGGAAGAGTGAAAAGAAAGAAACGCGGAGAAGATGGTAATTACGTTATACCGTATTCACATTGTAGGTACATTCTACTAATCGCTCCATAGCTTCTTCCTGGCAATCAGGACCCGCTCTTCACTCACCGAGAGAGCATCAGTGCTCGGTTCAACTTCCGACACCCACCGATCCCACTTCAAGGCCGGTAATGACTTCTGGATATAGCTAATGATCGATGGTTTGTCTCGTATGATGACGAATGCTTCGGGCCTCAGGATCCTATCCATTTCCACGAGCAGGTCTTCGGTACTGCAGCCTCGCTCCTCGAGCTCCGAGAATACTGCCCAGGCATGGAGGAGATCGTATGTTCTCGGATATGTAGAGAATGATTCACACCTGAGTGAAGACAGAGGCCACAAGTTTCCATCAGGATCATTAAATGTAAAGCTAGAATCAAGGTTGATAACATATTTATCGCTATACAATGATATCCCCCAAAAACAGGTATTATAAATACTACTGAGTATTGACCCTGGGAATCATTGATGCTAAAAGAGTGAGAGGAAGGATGAATGAGCTACCAGTCATGAACCGTTCCAATCAAGCCACGATCATAGATGATCTTAAGCCGGGCTGAGATGGTGACTGGAGCAACATTCATCACCCAGACATCTGTATCTTTAAGAGCGGCAGCAAAACCTCCGAGATTTGCATTCATATCCATGACATTCCTGAAGTAGCTCTTCCTCACAACGGATTTCATCTGCTTCCAGTACTCATTCACCCTAAATTTCCATATACGCTGCAAAAATAAAATGGAAAGAAGTAAGCTAGCTATCAACATAAAAAATATCGAGAAGGTGGTTAGACAAATTAAGCAACGAGTCAGGAAGCCTTACAGTGTCTTCATGGAACTCTTCGGGACTAACACCAATGTCTTCCAAACGTGGAGGCGGTGTGATTAGCCTCTGCGGCCATGGTACCAATCCAGTCCCTTTCTCCCTGTGCATCTCTAAAAGAAAAAACAAAAAAATGAATTGATAACTTCAGCAAAAGGCTAGTGAATGCTCTTGGAATTAACAAACCAAGTTTGGTCACTGAACTTGTGTGGTATAAGTCAAATTAGGCACTGAACTTGATTTCAATGCAATTGAAGGACATGATTCAGTTAAGTTCAACTTTCGGGTACTTACGTGCAGAGTATTGAGAAATGCAGGCCTTCATCTGCACATTCCACACACCATCTGCATCATCTTCAATGCTACACAAAGGCGGTTGAGTACCAGGCTCTCTCTTCAAGTAACAACCATTGCTCGTGGGTTTCTGCCAGATCACGGTTTGGTCTTTCTTGGAAGCAACCCTCCAGCACATTCTTTTCAGAAGATCATGCATAGCATTCCCTATCCTTAGGTTCTCCGGATCCTTAGCATACGCCTCAGGGGACGAATAAGCGAAATAGCCTCCTGGTCTCAACACCCTATCAAGCTCCAACAGCAGGATTCCATCCCTCTGCAGCCAATCGATTCTGCACCTTGAACAATGAGCCAAATCGAACGATCTGCTCGGATACGGAAGCCTCTTGGTCCCCAAGACACCAAGGGTCGATGGAATCCCTCTCTCCAATGCAAACTGTATCTGGTTCTCGTGAACATCATTTGGTGCCAGGGACATGGCTATGGTGCTGTGCTGAAGAAGATAGGCACCGAAGCTTGCCACTCCACAGCCCACGTCGAGGACATTCCTGAGGTTCCCACCATTGTGAAGCTTGTCGTTTGGAAACTTAAGCATCTACATGAATAGGGTAGCTTGTCATATGATCTTGAATGAAGAGATTGTAACAAAACGACAGTAACTTGTGTCTGTGGGGTCGAATTTGTGGCTTTGCATTGAAGGAACGAGAATAACGGTTCAAACTTTCTCAGCAAACAAATAAGACAGAACAAGTCAAAGAAAGAGAGGGTGGAAAGATGAAAACTTTCTGGGCACAATCAATCATAATTACCCTAGCGAGAGAGACAATGTACTTGTCAGCACCATAATGGAAATGGGTTCCTCCACCAGGGAAATTGATCTTATCCCCCTTAACAACCATCCAATTCTGATCAGACTTTTCGCTCGCCAAGTGGGTATGTGGGATATTAGCCTTCCACACTTCATCTCTACTCTCCGGCCATCTTATCGGAATCTGAAACTCTAAATGCCAGCATTTCATCACGACAACTAAAACCAAACCAACTCTCCGAAACACAAACACTCCAGTTTATCCTGCCTAACCTTATAACCAGCCGGCGGCGGAATCAGACAATTGAGCCGCCGCTGCGGCGGCGGACAGTGCCGCTCGTAGTGCTCCATCAACGACAAGTTCAGCTTCAACCTCAGCTGGTAAATTAGCTCTCTATCCAAGCAAGGTATCAGCTCGGAGTACTTCATATCACAGATCTACAATCAAACACGCCAACACTCTCCAACATCAAACGACATCCAAATCCCCCAATTCGAGGAAAAAAGAACTGAACTTACCGGAATGGTTCTGGGTAGTTCCAGATTCTGGAGGGAGTCATCGTCGAAGTGCTGGGGACCGGGCAGTGAACCGAGGACCGGGTCAGAGCCGTCGCGGCGGAGGGATTCTGGGTCCGATCCGGGCGCGAAGGAAGAGCCGTAGTATAAACAGAGTAGGCCGAGAAACAGGATGACGATCAGGAGAAGGTAAGTGATTAGCTTGGACGACCGAAGCTGGTCGCTTTTCTGCCTCATTCTTCTTCTTCTTCTTCGTTCCGATTGAATCGGTGGAGGGTTAAAACTGAAAAGACTTGAACTTTCGATGGAAATGAATTGAATTCGAAAAGCCCTGGTGGATTGGAAGCTTGAAACTGAACCGGTAAGAAAGGAATCTGATTTCTGCGACCTTTTTCAGCTGCTTTGCTTCTTGCTGGGCTGGCTACTACTACTAGTCTGCTAGACTACTACTGAGCACTGAACTGTTCTGTCGTCTGAAAGGGCGGGGAAGAATCAGGTGAGGTCGAGCTCAGTGGTGCGAGTGGAGGAATTGGTTTGGTTGACGTTTCGGTTTGATTCAATAAAGCCGGCCAGCCCCAGTGAGGCCCAAATAGGTGGGCTGCCCCATCTAGAGTCCATTGGATTGATATGGATCAGTAACCTGCTTTTGTTTCAGGGGTGGTGGTGTTGACGAATGACGACTACAATGCTTTTCTCTAACTCACTTCGACCAGGTTCAGGCCCTTAAGGCCAAATCCTTAAGGAGTTCCTTAAGTGATTTTCGGCCATTGGATTGATTTATATTAGTTAATGGTTGTTGAGCCGTTTTTAGGTAGGTAAGGGTAGTGTTGGCATTAGGAATTTTAATTAATTAATGAGTGTATTTTAATTAATTACCTGCCGTTTTTTCACGTAGCATGCGGTAGGGTTTTATTAGTTTTACTTTAGGTTTTTTGTTTACGTAAGAAGGTGAGTTGCTGAACAACGGCCGGTGACAGGTCTCTGTTTCTGGCGGCGACACGCTTCTGCTTCCGGCGGCGAACAGGCAGTCACCGTGACCCGGCGGCGACCCGGCGGCGACCCGGAGCTTACGGGCGACCTCCTCTGCCCTCAGTCGTGCAGCTTGCTCCTCTGACAGCTGCTGCTCAATCCTGCTCGTCGTCTCCCGTACTGCTGCTCCATACTGTTAACTTTTCTTCAACCTATTTCACACCATCAGCAAGCTCAGGATTCAAGGGACAGATATAGAGCAAGGTTAATCTACATAAACGGCGGCGACCCGGCAACGACCCGGCGACGACCAGACAAAACTACCGCCGGCGGTAGCAGTCTCCCTCTTTAGCTTTATCCCGACAAAATATCGACGGCAGTCTTCATCTCCCCGTAGCTTCACGGCAGGTATGTGATTTTTTTATGTTTGGTTATTAACGTGTTATTATCAGTATTATCATCTAATGTTAACGTGTTTTTAACATTATTATTATCATCTAACGTGTTATTAACATTATTATTAACATTATTATTATATAATGTTAACATACTATTAACGTGTTATTAACATTATTGATTGTTTGCTTAACGTCTTATTAACATTATTATTATCTATTGTTAACATTATTATTATCTAATGTTAACCGATAATAAGTTCAGTTATTATTGTTATGTTTTAGGTTATTACCGTGGGTAGTAGTTCTTTATTATCTAATGTGTTATTAACATTATTATTAACATTATTATTATATAATGTTAACATACTATTAACGTGTTATTAACATTATTCATTGTTTGCTTAACGTCTTATTAACATTATTATTATCTATTGTTAACATTATTATTATCTAATGTTAACCGATAATAAGTTCAGTTATTATCGTTATTGTTTAGGTTATTACCGTGGGTAGTAGTTCTTATATTTTTATTTCTATTAGCATTTTAATTAAATCATGGAATTTATTTTACATAAATTGAATGTGTTATTAACATTTTCAGGCATCATTTTTAAAGTGAAACTTTACATGTTGTTAACAATCTGATTCACCGTTTTGTTAATGTCAATTACGTAGGTTATCAACATCATGGCTCGAACCAAAAATACCTCCCGGAAGACTGTGCCGCACAAAGAAACATCTGAGAAAAAGCTGACCGAGTCAGTTGAAAATAATGGAGATAGGCTCAGCCACAGATGTAGTATGTCTCAGGTTATAAAGATGGTGGAAAATATTACTCCTGCTCGAGCTGCTCTAATTCAGGGGTATGGGTTTGGTTTTGTGTTGAATTTGACGATGCACAACATTGATCAGGATTACTTGAGGATGATTGCACAACATTTCGATCACCGGAATATGTCTTTCAGTATGCCAGGCGGGCAGAGTTTACGCATCACAGAGTCTGATATTGCACGCGTTTATGGGTTGCCTCAGGGTACTAATTCTCCTCAACTTGATTACTTTCAAGCGCCTAACTCTAAAAAGTGGGCAGAACGTCTGGGCATACGTCGTGTCAGCCCAGAGAATGTGAAGTTGATGAAGTTGAAAGAAGCTATGCATAGGACTGATGACGACCAATCGTGGGTGCAAATGTGCATCCTCCTGACAATTGGATATTTGCTAGACCCCAATGGTGGAATGCGAGTTCGTCATCAGTACTTGGGATTTATGAGGGGTCGCTTAGTTGACGAGTTTACCAAGTACAACTGGTGTGGGCATATGCTCAGTTGCCTGCGTGCGGCTTTTATGAAAAATACATCGAGGAAGTACGTGGAGGGGGATGTTCACTTCCTCATTTGTGTATTATCAATCTTTCCCTTGTTCTTGGGATTCAGTTCGCTCTTTTTACGAAAGCCATTCTTGTTGCACACACAATAGATATAGTGAGCTTTCTCACTAAATTCACTTTTGGTGTTGACTTTAGGAGCTCCGTTTCTCCTCATTCCAAAACCATGATCATGGGCATATTCTCTGTAGAACCGCTCAGCATGATCCCTTGACAAAAACCGACGGTGTCTCCATGTGCTTTCATCGTCCGGATCAATAACTCCCCGGGCTGCGTTAACTATTAAAAGTTCAATTATTAACACAAGTCTACCAATTATTAATGATAATCCGATAAGACAACAACACCAAGATACTCGTACTACTAACCAAACATGTTACCTTCATAAGACATATCTACATTCACATCATCTTCTATTTCCTGCTCGCCTTGCCCATTAGATGGTGCCACAAACTCTTCATCAGTAGGTGGCGCATTCAAATCTGCCCATTAATAAAACATGCATTTTTCATCAAAACAAAACTTCAAGTATCTCCTTAATAACATGTCGTTATCAGCAATGTTGATAATTGAACAACTAGTTCATAATACTTGATGCCAATTGTGTTAATAATTCTTTACTTTCATTCGGCATTTCTATTATTAATACAAACGTCCCAGGTTATTAATATAAATATGCCTATGTTCAACATACTTAAAATAACTTCGCACACTTATATTTCTATTATTAACACAAATTCTTAACTTTCATTCTTTATTTCCATTATTAATAAAAACGTTTATCCTTTTTAATGGAAATATGGCGTATTTTCAACATGCTTATAATAACTTCAGATTTTGAATTTCTATTATCAACTTTGCTTTTGTACTTCTATTATTACTGAAAACTGTTTACGCTTTTTATATAAAAAAATGCATATTTTCAACATCATTAAACTAACTTCAAATATTTTAGATTATTACTAAAAATGTTACTAATTGAACGACTAATTAATAAAACCTGATGCCACTTCTGTTACTAATCATTTACTTCCTTTTAGTATTTTTATTAATAACACAAACCCTCTACTTTCATTTTGTATTTCGATTATTAATAACAACGTACTACATTATTAACGAAAATATGGCGTATTTTCAACTTGCTTAAAAAAACTACAAATCTTCTATTCCTATTACTAACACAATCTATCTCCATTATCAACGACACCGGGGAACTTTCCAACCTTCACATAAAATTATATTAACAAAAACGTCGACCCAGAGATCATACCAATCGGAAAACCATCCGACATGTTTTGGGTCGGCGTTCCAGATGAACCTTTCCTCCCAGAAACGAATAGATGCGGCGCCAAGAAACTCGGCGTTCTAGATGGAGCAGTTGTCACTCGCGGCCTCGTCTCGGATGCTTCGCGGCCACCGGATCTATAGATACGGCGATCCCTCTCTCTCTCAGCCTCCGTCTCTGAATCTTCCCCGCCGCCAACGATCTATGGAAGCCGCCGGCGGAATAGTGGTGGTGATATAGCGGTTCTTTGGCAACGCACGAAGAGAGAGATATGGTTGGATTGTTAAAATGGTAAGTGAGTGGCGTGGTTATAGTCAAATTACCTTTTTCAGAAATAATTACATTAATTATTAACATTTAATACTTATACAAAATCCCCCATATGCCCTTTTATTTAGTTACGGATTAGTTACGGATTAGTTACAAGAAACAATATCTCTCCTCTTCCTATTGGCCAGAAAAGGCTTAAGAAACTCCTTAAGTTTGAGGCTTAAGGACGTGATCCAACCCGAACTCACTTGGGGTAGACTTGGATACCATACCATACAATAATGTACAGGGAAGGTGACATTTTTTTTAGTAGGAATTTGGAAATCAACAACCATATGTACGTATAATGGAATTATCAAACTATTAATCGTTGATTTCTCTCATTGTGGATGCATTACCATATATAACTAATTAATGGTACTTAAGGATTGATTTGGCTACAATATGTTGAAAGAGAGCATCCTTTTGTTCGAACCTTGTGACTCATGATTACTTGCAAAATTTAATTATCCATTACTTTGTATTGTTAAACAAGTAAGTAAGTAACTATGGTACATGAATCTCACGCAATGCTTTTCTTCACATGATCATCACTCAATCAGTTGATTTATCTCTAACAAGAAGTTCACCAAGATCCCAACATCCTTCTTCTTTTCGTTTTAACGATACACTAACATTGAATAACACATGAGACAGATAAATTTACTTGTAACAATGAGTTAGTGACTATCAATCAAATCTATATCATTATATCAATGCTCATGTCTTATTGGGGGCGTAGCCAAAATTTCGTCCAAGGTGAGTCTACTTAGGAAAAAAATACACATTAGAAAAAATAATTTTATTATTTTTTAATCATCCGTGATATTATCTTTGTCACGACTGTTTCTCTGCCGATCGAGAAATTGGAATATTCGACAACGCAAGAAAAACGAAAGTACACACACGACACGTGATTTATGTGGTTCACTAACACAATGTGCGTTAGCTAGTCCACAGGCCGGAGAGAGCCAGTTTCACTATACTTCGAGGAGATACGTATAGATTACAGAGGAGAAGTATTTATAGTACTTCTCCTAAATCTAACCCTAATCCAATATGGTAGCGACTGATAGTTAGATTCAAATCACATAAACAATCTTACATTTGGAATTTGTAAGTTAAAATTCATTAGTAGTTGTAACTATCAAGTTATTCGCTATTCAGTTAGTTGTTCACTTTCGAACGATGTTCTTTATCAAGAACTGTTTAGTATTAATAACCCAGTTGTTGAGAGATGTTTAGTAATGAATCTTGTACCAAACAATTATTGACAATTTAGTTAGTAGTTCCTTTCGAAACATGGTTTTTTTTGTCATGTAAGTATCAATAACTCGTGTTGTTGAGAGAAATTGAATAATATAATCTTATAGTATTTACTAACACACATCCTCATAAGAAAGTCAACTTATATGAAATTAAAGTTTAAACAAATATGAATTCTATGTAATTAACAAATGCGGTCGCCAAGGTTCAAACGCAAAACCTCTGACGATCAACTATTCTCACTTAGACACGTTCAGTTAACAAATTTTCTCATGACGGACCCACCTTGTTACACTCTTCTCCACCCGTGTCTTGTACTCTTATTCTTTTAACTCATTTGTTCGGATGACATCGCCCGAGTTTTGACTTAAAATTTATTTTTTCATAATTTTTTTTAATATTGGCTTGAAAAAGTTAAACGTGGAATCTTTAACAAATGCATTTGTTAACAAAAATAATTGGAAAGCGCATAATTTTTTTTTTTTTTTAGAATGCATAAATAATTATTTAAAAATACCATCGTGGAGTGTTTACTTGGCATACCATTGCCGCGAACCTTCTAAGTTCTATCCTTGCCATCATCGCATGCCTGCCACTCCGCCATTGTTAATCAATTCCCTGACCCAAAACATAAAAACCTCAAATTCCAGTATCGGCCAAAAAAGCTTCTTCACTTTCCTCCGCTCCCCTTTAACCCTTCCTTTTCTTCCCCTTTCACGGAAGACCCACTCCAAGAAACAAGAAAGTCTCGATTCCGGAATCCGATTCAGATCCGCCTTTGCAGAATCTCCCGGTTTGCTACTGATCTACTCAACACAAATAATCCACTGTGGCAGACTGAAACTTCCACGCATCAAGTTGCTACACCATCTCCCTCCTCTCCAACCTGCTTCGTAAACAGAGGTCAGGATAAATATACGAAACCTAGGTCTCCTATTATAATCTCGAGGAATGCCGGTTGGGTTTTATCAATCCATCGGTCGTCATCTGGTAGGTTTCCGATCAGTGGATTGTAGTTGATTGTCGGCGAAGTTACCGTTGCCAATTTCGGCATTCTGCCAAAATTGGAGCTGTGGCCGCTAAGTTCTGTATGTAAGCAGTAATAACGTTTCTGACAGGAGAGACAAAAGGGGAAAGAGAAATATTAGGCGCAAAAAAGGAACTTTAACCGATAAGAAATCGGTGAGGGTTAGGGAAGGGAAGCCGAGTTACGTGAGCGAGTCTAGCAGCCAGCAGCCTCTTGAAGAGTCGTTCTTTGTTGGCTAAGTAAGCTAATTTGGTTGCTTCCTGGATGTTTCATCTCTTTTACCAAAACCCCAAACTTGTTATTATATCTTTCTCTGCAAGTTGAAACCGCCATTCATATCGTGCTTTTGGAGGACATTTGACTTGCTAGGGGCTTCTGTATTGTGGGTTGTTTAGTTTTTGAGATAAAGAGAGAGCCTTTGTTGATTTTTGTTGCAGAGTATTGTGAATTTTTCATGGGAGCAAAGAACTCGAGGGAAGGGAGCTGGAGGTCGGATTCCTCGTCTGCGGCGGCATCTTCATGGGATTATGTTCAACAACCTTATTATGGGCAGCCGTATGGTCAAGATGGCTATGGATATGGCTATCCGCCACCCCAGCAACCTCCCACACAGCCAAACTATCCACCGCCAGCTCAAGTTGGAGGTGGTGATAGAAGGCGGCTTGATAGAAAGTATTCAATAATTGCCGATGACTATAAATCCTTGGACCAGGTAAAGTGTTTACAAGTTTATGTTTGTCTGTTTGATGTTTATTGGATGAGAATTGGCTGGCTATGCATGCAATTGGATTTTAAGGACTTCCTTCAATTCAATCTTACCTCCTGGTTTGAGGTAATATAGGCTTTTGATCATTCTGGTATGGTTCTTTGCAGGTGACTGAAGCTCTTGCACGTGCTGGACTTGAATCATCAAATCTCATTGTTGGAATTGACTTTACGAAGAGCAACGAGTGGACTGGTATATGTTTCTGTTGTATGTTTTGATATGTAAATTAGGATGCACTGTTAGAACATACGGCTTAACATGGCTTGATCACTAGGTGCTAAGTCTTACAACAAAAAAAGTTTACATCACATTGGAGATGCCTTGAATCCCTACGAGCAAGCTATTTCTATTATTGGGAAGACTTTAGCTGCCTTTGATGAGGACAACTTGATTCCCTGCTACGGATTTGGAGACGGTAGGGTCTCAACTCTTATGAATTGTTTTCGATAATTGAATTACATAGCAATTTGTGTTACTGAGAGTTACTATCCATTGCCAGCTACGACACACGATCAGGATGTCTTTAGTTTCTATCCGGATGAGAGGTTCTGTAATGGATTTGAAGAAGTTTTAAGCCGATATCGAGAAATTGCTCCAAGCCTGAGACTTGCAGGTTTGGTTTACATGTTCCCCGAGTCATATTTGTATTCCATGGATAGAATTGCCACAGTAGTTTATTTTTGGAGCTTATGCATCTTTTTTTCTTGGTAGGTCCGACGTCATTTGCACCTGTTATTGAGAAGGCAATGACGATTGTTGAGGAGAGTGGTGGCCAGTATCATGTATTGTTGATAATAGCAGATGGGCAGGTAATTCGCCTCAGTATATGATAAAAATTAGACACCACATGATAATTGTCAATGAGAATCTGTAGTTTATAATCACGTGCTTACCATGTCACAGGTTACTAGGAGTGTTGACACTGAGCATGGGCGGCTAAGTCCACAGGAGCAGAAGACAGTTGATGCCATTGTACAAGCCAGGTAAACAGTCTGGTGACCTGATTTACCCTGTTATTTTCCTTATACGTGTTCCTGTATTTCACTGTTGAGTGGAATGTGCCACTTGTTTCCTGATCATGTATTTCCTCTTCTGCAGCAAGCTTCCCTTGTCTATTGTTTTGGTAGGGGTTGGGGATGGCCCATGGGACACGATGAAAGAGTTTGATGATAACATCCCTGCTAGAGAGTTTGATAATTTCCAGGTAACTGAATCACTTCCATTAGTTTCTCTTTTCCAGCTCATTATGATCATCTTCAGAAAACGATAAGAAATCTGAATTATGTTCATGTAGTTTGTAAATTTCACGGAGATTATGTTGAAGAACGTGCACCAATCCCGCAAGGAGACACAGTTTGCACTTTCTGCTCTCATGGAAATTCCTCCTCAATACAAGGCAACGATGGAACTTGGACTATTGGGGTAACAGCTCAGCTACTTCGCTTCTCTGTTTGTCAGGATTAATTGTTGTCTTCCTATATATCAGCTTCTTCTTCTTTCTTTTTGTTCCGTTGCACATACACGAGTTTGTTCTAAGTTAAAGATCACGACTTTAAGGACCAAGTTTGGGAAACCTCTAACAATCTCCCCTCAATGAGACACCTTTTACAATATAATAGATGCCCCTCCATGCCTATGTCTCCTCAGGACATCATCCTGTTGTCTATTCTTTTATTTACTTGATTCGTTATCTTTGAATCTGCAGTCGTAAAAGGGGAAATATTCCTCAGCGGGTTGCACTCCCACCTCCTGTCTATGGGTCCTCATCTTTTAGTAGCTCCAAATCTTTCCAGTCTACTACCAGCTCCAAATCTTTCCAGCCTACTACCAGCTTTAAGCCTACTGTGCCGGTTTATGAACCAGACACCCATCCGATCAGCTCAGCACCGCCAATCGCAAGTTCAACCTACGAAAACCAGGTTAGTTACTTATGGTTCAACCAATTTTTCCGCATAACCTAGAGTTTTGATTGCAATGGCAGCCTCAAATGACACATTTTGGTGGTCTGTTTAACTGTACAGCTTTGCCCTATCTGCCTCAGCAACGCGAAGGACATGGCATTCGGCTGTGGGCACCAAGTGCGTATTCTTTCTTAATAGCTCCTTTGTGATTTTATCTGTGAGAAGCTTGAGATCGAATGGAGGTTAATTGATATTTCGGTTTGATGGTTCTTTTATTGTGTGGCCTCAGACATGTCGCGAGTGTGGTGAAAACGCAAACCTTCAACTGTGCCCTATCTGCCGGACTCCGATCAGCACCAGGATAAAGCTCTATTAAACCGTGGGCCGAAGGATGAAGGGTTTGCCTGCCTTTTGTAACTAATGCGTGGCTTTCTCCAGTAATACTGTAATTCGTTTATTCAATGTTATTATTTTGGATCTGCTGGTTTCAGTTGTAGGCTTGAAATCTGCTGGTTTCAGTTGTAGGCTTGAAATTTGTACATACAGAAATGGAAAACCATTTTTCTCCAGTTTCCTGATCGCTAACGCCCAATTTGGTTCCCCTTCTTATGAGTACTATTTTCTGAATGAATATAAACAGATAGAAGCTTAACAAACCAGCAAGAGAGCAGGTATTGAGAATGTGAGAATGTTGATTACAGAATTTACTGTAGATGCGGTATTCTTTTGGGAACATAGTCATCTCATTAAATGCTTGCTTGGCTGTATTTCGTCATCTAATGTCCAGCTTTTAAGAGTAGTCCCAGGAGTTTGATAAGTAGCATATTTTCTACATGTATAAAACTAGGAGGCTAGGAAAGCACTTGGTGGAGGCAAATGGTGTGAATAGTGTTTGTGTTGTAATTTTTAGGGGAGAACAAGTTTTTTCTCTTTGTGTTAGGGTGTGGTTCTATAGGCAGAGCCACCTTATATTGCCCTTGTCCCAGGACAGGGGTAATATTTGTGGTTGGTAAAAAATACCCATATATATGTATCCAACAACTACAAGTAATATAAGGATATTTTGTCACTACATCATAGCTCATTACTTGTTTAATAATTGATTAAAAATAAATAATTTATGTGTTCCATTCATGATAATTATTCGACAATAACTAGTTGGGTATTATCATGATGTTATGAGATTTCGTTAATTGAAAGAAATTGATGAATTGTCTCGGATAATGATGGAGACAAAAGTATGTAAGTCATATCCATAAGTTTATTTGGTTCTGAAACTAGTTTTGATTCTACCCGTTGCAACTGTAACTCTGTAAGTGCATAAATAACATTTTTAGCTTGAACTATATTAATATAAAGTTTCGAAGTCGAATTGACGATCGGTTTGCTTAAGATTGTTTAATATGATACATTGAAAGAGGCTTATTTAAGAGTATAGACAACGAATGTATTTTGCATTGCTTTGAGAGAATGAAAATTCGTCATAATTGGTTATGCAAACATCAATTGTATTAGTCGGTTATTTCTGTATTTATGTTAATACATTAATTATATTTTTATATTTTGAAAAGAGGACAGAGGTAGTTTCAAATCCTGCCTCCGCCACTGTGTGGCCTACAATAAAATACTTTTGTTGATGCCAAGCTCCGAGGAATTTGCTTCAATGTGTTTGAGGTCTGATGAGCGTTGTCCTCCTGGCCATCGTACGCCACCCAGGGGCGGAGCTATGTAGAGCTTCGGGGGCCCCGGTCCCCTCGAGAATTTTGAAACATAGGTGTAAATTGCTACAACATTTGGAGAATTATGTATAAAATTAGTGTTTATATTAATAATGAGGTGTGAGAAAAACTTAACAATTAGCTGCTATTACGGATTAATTGTCAACCTAGTTCTTCTATGTTCCATGTTTGAAACTAGCTAGCCGCATTCTTTATATTTTTATAAAACTTTCTTGCAACGCAATGGTAAATTTAATCCTTTAAGTTTCATAATTTGTTTGATAAATCCTATACTGTTAAATTAAGTTAATTAAGTTCTTGGACTCTTGAATTGGTAATTTAAGAATTCTTTGCTATAGTCAATTATAGTAATTCTTTTGAAACACTAATACAAAGGATAAGTAATTTTTCAATTAAGAATATATTGAATAACATGATATCTATCGACTTGCATAGTTAAATTTTTTTATACAATTTGCTCATTGTTATGAACATAACACTATAGAAACTTTAGAATAAAGTATATGTTAAATTATTTTGATTTTTTCAAATAAAATCTTACCTCGTTATGAGAATATCATCATTATTTTCATTAAGATATGTTGCTGCTCTTTTTTTTTTTGTTGCGTTATTATGATATTCATTAAGTCATTCGGCCCCCCGAATCTAAAATCCTAGCTCCGCCCTTGCCGGCTGCCGCCACCAGCCTTTGAGATGGACGCCTGCAAAAGAGGAACCCACCGCCGGTGGTTGGCGGGGACCTGCTCCGAAGCTCAAGTCAGTATTTGAGACGAGAGTAACCGAGAGCGGCGTATTGATCTGCCTCTAGAGAGAAATTTAGAGTTCAACTCCAAAATGAACTGCCTTGAAAACATAATGAGCGTCCTATTTATAGGTGTCTCATTCTTCTAACGTGGATGGCGTGTAAAAAATAATATTCTTTTATCTTCCAACCAACATATTTCGTGCAATGCTCGAGTGAGTGTAAAAAAAAACTAAAGCACTCAACCAATCCATGTAAATAGCAATGGTTGGTTGGTTGTATTGAATAAAGAAAGAAACACATATGACCCTTAACTTAAATGAGTGGGGGGGAATTGCTTACCTTGCTCTTCTCCATGTCCATGTGTAGTAAGTGGGGAAATTGTTTGGTTAGTGTAGGTAACTAGATGATTAATCAAGTAATCATCCACCTAATGTATTTCTACTAAGTCACGTATATAAGTAGTGGGAGGTGGGACAATGTGATTGTTTGAGGGCTTATGAAACCACACATTGACATGGTAAATATGTCTCTCATTTTGCTCCACGGGTAATTAGCAGGGTATCATAAGCCATTTTCCAACCATAATCAAATTAGCTTTTACAGATGGAAAGGAAATTGATGAGGTACCAATTGTTTATGAGCCCATTTAAATGGGATGGTGGGTGGTAACTGGTTAATGCCATTTATTAACCGTGCAAGTTTATTTTACGGTTCCTTACGATATTATCGCAAGGCAATGAAGGATTAATTATAGGTGGGTGGTAAGTTTGCCCAATCCCCACGGCTGCCCAATAGGTTTATTTAGAACACTGCTCACCCAAAGGGTTAATCCCATGTAATGAGGTTCACGGCAATTTTCAAAGAGTTAATTAATTAATTGTTTCGGTTCATTCCAAGTACCAAAATCCACATGCTAAGGTTAATTAATGGTTTAGGTTCATTCCAATTGCCAAGTATCAAAATCCACGGTTAGGTTTTTAATAATAGTTTCATAGGGTTAACAAATTAATTGTTTGGATTCGTACCAACAACCACAATTAGGTTTTCTATATATATGAAAGCATAAGTTAGGAGGTAATGTTAATTTTTTTTTAGTGGGGTGGTGTTCACTTTGTGTTTTTATCCTCTATACCAAATTTTAACGAGTGTTGTTCACATTGAGTTTTTATCCTCTATACCAAATTTTATGAAGATATTCTCCCCGATAGTGTTTTTATCGTCACTGTTGACCATCTCACCCTTTTGCATTACACGAAAGTTCCTTAAGATCAGTTAACTTTTACATAATGGTTTAATCAAATGTGATACTTTTCATAATATCTACATAAAACTTAAGGAGTATATTTTTTTCATTTTTGTTGTTAAACAAACATATTATGTAAGTCTTCCGTGATAATTAAGATAGTACATAAATATAATGTAAAAATTATTTATATGTCAAAAGTGTTGATCATCTCACCCTTTTGCATTACACAAAGTTCCTTAAGGTGGGTTAACTTTTACATAATTATTTAATCAAATGTGGTACTTTCATAACTTAGTTTCTTTTTTATTAGACCACATTTTAAGGAAGATTTACGTAAACTTTATATATTAATTAGTTAAATTATAAAATACATTATCTAAAACTTATGAGAATAGTTATTTCTTATGTATTGATGAAATAAAACTCATTATGTAAGTCTTTCATAATAATTAAAAAACTACGTAAAACTTATGGAGGGATAATCATTTCTTAAGTATCAATTAAAGAAACATTTTTTCCATTTGTTATTTGCCTGAATATTCGAACCTAAAGTGTGGTGGATGTTATTATCCCCACATTACCAATAGGTCAACCCCTTGGGGTTAATTAAACATATATATTATGCAAGTCTTCCATAATTTAAGTTTTTGTAACATATGTTTTAAGTAATATTCATTTATTATTAAGTAAAGTGCTCACCATCAATTTGAATTGCATAAATATTTTTTTTAATTCAGTAATTTTTTACATAACAGTTTAATCAAGTATAAAACTTTTCATAACTTATTTGTTTTATAATTAGCTAAAATTAATTAATTATTAAATACACTAATAATCATCTCATCCGCTAGCATTATGCAAATGTATCATAAGGTAGTTTAACTTTCATATAATAGTTTAATTATTTATGATACTTTTCATCGTTTGATTTGTTATTAGATCACAAATTACGGAAGATATACATAACAACATTCTATAATAATAATGTTAATTAAAAATACATCATGTAAAACTATGGAGGGATAACAACCTATTACGCAAGTATTTCTTAATGATTAATACACGAAGCAAAGTTTATGAAGGTATCTTACCCGAACAATTTTATGAATTATTTGATTATATTTAATCATTAAATAATTAGATAAGATTTAAACATAATTAATTTCTTACCGCGGTGAAACGCGAGCCAAAAAACTAGTCTCTTTAAATGCAATATTTTCACTTTCCTTCCACATGTAAGAGTATGGCAATGAGAGGAGTAGTTTGCATGAAGAGAGAGTCATGTGTAAGGAAGAGAAGACAACAAGATGTTGGTAAAAATTATTTACCTTCTCCTCCTTTGGGCACGTGGAAATGACAGGGAAAACTTTATTCAAGCACCCAAATAATCATCATTCTTTCTTTCCACATGTGGATTAATGTGTAAGGGGAGATTGATGGTTTGAGGGTCAAGAAATCAAAAGTATATAAAAGTTGGCCACGCTCTTTGCTCTATTTTTTCGTTACTGTTTCACTTTCTGTCTTTTAGTGTCAATTGATGAAAGAGCTTCGTGAAGGAGCTTCCCCAATCCCCACAGAAACCCTTTTCCCATACAACAAGCCTTTTCCTTCCCTCATTCCAGCAGAAGTCCATTCATCCAATTTCTTCGAATCACCAATGACTTTAAGGTAGCGAAATTCGTTGACCAATTCTGGTTCCTCTGCTTTGAGTTTACGGCGGGCCATAAAGATCCCTTCTTCTTCAATGACATGTATGTCCCGTGGATGAATTGGCATATTATCTTCATGTTCGACTAATGTGGTTGTCCACCTAATCATTCCATGCTCGTCTCTCACAAGCAATCCAATGTAACGAAGCCATCCCTAAACAAACCATAAGTTTCTAGATAGAAACTAAATAAGAAAAAAACTAAATAAATGAGAATGATTTGAGATTATAAACTAAAAATTAGCCAAAAATAGTGTAGGAGATATGAGAACTTACCCTCCCGAAACAAAAGGTGGATGGGGGAGCAGCCTCATTCGAAAGAACCTCACTTTTTATAGGTGTATTTGATTTCCTTAGTGAGTTCATCTTTCCTTAAAATCTTCAGTTGATGCTTGAGGATGGCCTCCACCAATGCAAGTTTGAGGTTAGACATTTTCTTATAGCGTTTGAGTTGTTTCTTGAACCGCTCAATAGTCATATATCCCTTTTGAAACCAATTCCAAGTGTTGCTAGCTTGTCTTCGAGTGTGTTGATTGGCAAGAAGTTCACAAAGCTCCTCAGCAGTCTTGTCTAGGAGGATAACTGTTATGTGGGTGTCGTCGGAGGCGGCGTTGGAGGCGACATCGTCATCGTTGTCACTGTCGTCGGAGTCATCATAATCGTCGTCGTTGTTGTCGTTGTCATCAGAGGCAGCGTCGGAGGCGGCATCGTCATCATTGTAGTTGCGGTCGTCGTCACCGCCATCAGGATTGTAGTAGTAGTGTCGGTGATGGAAAGAGGATCTTGGTTCACTCTGGTTCTCTTCGGATGGACAAAACGAGGCGTAGGAATGTCGTGCAACTGAGCTGGCACGAGACAAGCTGACTTGGGCTGGAGACCGTGAATAACTCTGGTTCAATCTTATAGTGTTTTGCTTCTTAATACCAATCGCATCTTTGAAAATGTCTGTAAGAGAAAGAAGAAAAGGAGTTAGATGTAATTCTAGGAAAATAGTTGTATTTGTCCAAAATAATCTTAATGGATATTAATCTTATTTGTCCAAAATAAGCAAGAAAAACTGAAAAAGTATGCAACAAAAAATAATATAGAGAAAAATTATAATTATTTAATGTGCCTGTACCACCTTTAATAAAAGAAAAAATCATGAAAAATTATACATAAATGAGTTGATTCACCTAATAAGCCTAAAAAGATGATGTGCCACTAACTCAGAAGCAGAGGCTGGAACTGAAGTCATCTATCTCAGAAAAAGAGCAGATTGAATACCCCAAAGATGGGCAATAAGACAAAAAGGAAAGATGAAAAGACAAAAGAAAAAAACAGGGGGAGGGAATGTAAAGGGAAACAAGCAAATCAAAACGAAAATGGTGGAGGGCCACCGCCGTCCAAAAGGAAAGCCCACGACAGCCATGTTGAAGTTTTGAAACTGGAAATTAATTAACCTAGTTGTTAATATTTTTCACTATGATTGCATTTTTCTTTAAGGTTTTTTTTTATACATTTTGGCAAATAAACAGAACACGGCGGTCGGCTTCATCCTTTCATGAATCAAACAATATTATATGCCTGTACCACCTTTAATAAAAGAAAAAATCATTAAAGATTATACATAAATGAGTTGATTCACCTAATAAGCATAAAAAGATGATGTGCCACTAACTCAGAAGCAGAGGCTGGAACTGAAGTCATCCATCTCAGAAGGAGAGCAGATTGAATACCCCAAAGATGGGCAATAAGACGAAAAGGAAAGATGAAAAGACAAACGAAAAAAACAGGGTGAGGGAATGTAAAGAGAAACAAGCAAATCAAAATGGAAATGGTGGAGGGCCACCGCCGTCCAAAAGGAAAGCCCACGACAGCCATGTTGAAGATTTGAAACTGGAAATTAATTAACCTAGTTGTTAATATTTTTCACTATGATTGCATTTTTCTTTAAGGTTCTTTTTTAATACATTTTGGCAAATAAACAGAACACGGCGGTTGGCTTCATCCTTCCATGAATAAAACAATATTATATGTTAGGATCGCTTTCGGTCACTTGTTAGTTGGACTTGAACATTAAATGCCTAGATGGACTACAAGTGAAAAAAAGAACAGACTGAAAGTGCCACTTTTCTTGTTTTCATTTCATCAAAATAGTTTTTCAACAAAAACAAACCTCAAACTCATTTTTTACTCGTATAAATCAGAACCCGCTAGATGGAATGGAAAACTTACTTGTTGCTTTCTTGATCATTGCTTTTTTAACATTGTGTACGTCCAAAAACAACGTGGTTGATAAAGGAAAATTATGATCTGCCCAACTTCTCCTTGCTGTTGGTCAACAAGCCACAATATATGCATGTAGTACTATCGTGTGCTCATTTTGATTTCATGGCAGCGGCGGATCCAAGAGGGGACCCGGCCAGCCGTCCCCTACTACAAAACTAGTTAGCACTTAATAAACCCGGTTTATAAGTCCGTTGGCCCAGTCAAGCAAATAAGTTGAGGGTTAATGGGCCGATCGCTTTAGCCCGGACATATGGTAAAAGTCATTATATTGTTCATACATATAGAAATTATATAAAATCTCATCAAATATATGAGTAATAACATATAAAATTACGTCAAAATAACATGTATGAACAAAATAACATGTACTTGGATACAATATATAGTGAAAATTCACACACACTTATATAACATCAATGTTCAAATGTTCAACTTATAATTTCAAAGATTGGTTTATGCGAAAAGCAAAACCGAAAAATAGGCACATTTCACAAACCAAAGGAAAAACGCCACCGTTTGACCTCCCGGCGGGTGTGTGTGTGTAGCTCGTATTTCTCATCGGGTCAGGGTCAAAGCGGGCCGACCGGAGGGTCGACCCACGGGTTAACAACCTTGGCACTTATAAATTTTTCGTGTTTAACTGTTTAAATTTTTCGTGTTTAGGTGTTTGGCCCAGTTCTATTAAAAGATGATCCAGTATCATTTAGTAATAAAATTTTGGATAACTATGACAATGGTACAGATGAATATATCCAAATCACTACTCTAAATTCAGTCTATAAATTCTAGCCCCAACGGTTTTCCTTAAAAAAACAATGACACTAAAATTCTAAAAACGTATTAGAATAAAAGCATAAATTTTCATCGACATAAAAAATCTCTAAATTAAAGCTCACCATCCCCTATCAAAACTCAAAAAGTTCTCTTGATCCCCCAAAACAAAATAAGAATAAGGAGACGAATGGACCCAGAACGAATTCCTCCGCAAAGTTAGAAGGCAAAACAACATTGTATGATTAATTGATTATGCATCTTTGAAGATACTTAATCATGACATCTTCTCAAGAACCAAATGAAAAGGCAAAATCGACGTAACAAATCTGAAAAGTTGCAGACCGAAGAAGTCCCTTCTAATGAAGGTAAACCATCTTTCCGGTCTTTTGATGAAGAAAATATTTACAAACTTGTTGAAGAGTTTTATCCTCGAGATTATGAAGGTATGAGATGCATTGTTTGAAGAAAAATCTCTAAATTAAAGCTCACCATCCCCTATCAAAACTCAAAAAGTTCTCTTGATCCCCCAAAACAAAATAAGAATAAGGAGACGAATGGACCCAGAACGGATTCCTCCGCAAAGTTAGAAGGCAAAGCAACATTGTATGATTAATTGATTATGCATCTTTGAAGATACTTAATCATGACATCTTCTCAAGAACCAAATGAAAAGGCAAAATCGACGTAACAAATCTGAAAAGTTGCAGACTGAATAAGTCCTTTCTAGTGAAGGTCAACCATCTTTCCGGTCTTTTGATGAAGAAAATATTTACAAACTTGTTGAAGAGTTTTATCCTCGAGATTATGAAGGTATGAGATGCATTGTTTGAAGAATGAGCTAGGAGATTATGCCGCTCATGTAGTTTCTTCCCTCACAAAATCACTAGAGAAGCTTGTGGAAACAAGGATGATACATGATACAAATTGATTTGTCGATTGATTCGTATAGTGTCAACGTTGTCCCATTTCAACGGCTACTAGAGAGAGAACACTTTAAACAATGGAACGTGTGAAATCTTATTTGCACAACAAAATGAGTGATGAATTTCTCGTTGATTTCTTAACTATTTTCTTTGGTGACAGTATGCTATTGGTACGGTTGAAGACTCGTTATTAACTATTTTCTTTACAATTTCCACTATAATGAACACTATAGTTATTATATATATTTTTTATAATATCTAATTCTTTATCAAATGCGGCCCAGTGCTCTACTATATACTGGATCCGCCGATGTTTCATAGCCCAACTAAAAACACAAAGCACACTTTCGTGTGGTTCCTTCCTGCTCATCACACAACTCTTCATTTCACATAATGTCCCAACTAAAACAATCATTGCGAATAACACTTTGCTAACTTGGAACATAACAAGAAAAGAAAATCCAAAATATTTCAACCTTGTTTCTTTGTCCTTGATATAAACTAATTGCTTAAGGGGACATGACGGGTTGTGGCCAAGTGGGCTTGATTGATTTCATTGCTGGTGAAATGTTTGATAGAATGAGAGTTCTATATTTGGCGTTGCTGTTGGCTCAATGACAGAGGATCGGTTTGGGAGAAGATAAGCTTTTATGCTTTCACTTGGGTTGCTCGCTCAATCCAATTGGCGTGGAGTGGCCACCACTTCCGAGTTTGCAGATAGTAATCTTCTTTACTCTCTTTCACAAGTATACACACAAATATTAGTTGCTTCCATAGCTCATGTTTAGAAAAGAATGATTTCTATGACACCACTTGCACTAGACTTGCTTCTTTCTCCGATCTCTGTTGGTTGCATTCACCTATTCTCAATCCAGTACCTGCACTTAGGGGAAAGGATTACGACAATACCAAAATGATGTATCCAGACTACATTGAAACCAGTTACGGACTCCAGTATAAGGTCTAGGACTGAATCCCATATGTTTCTCAATATAAATTCAAGTTCCTAATTTATCATTTTGCACCCAGCTTTGTGTTGATTCGGTAACAAAAAACAATGCAGGACCTCCGTCTTGGCTGTGCCTCAACTCCTACAATCGGAAAGACAGCTGTGGTGAGCACTTAATTTTTAAGCACCCATTTGACGATTTAGCTGCTTCATTTGGTCAAGTAATAGAAGTAATTGATTAAAATCATTGCCAGAAAGAACTTGGTTCGTTCCAACATTCAGAGGTTAGGGAGGATGCTAGATTTGGGTAAACAAAGGTGGCAAATGCTTAATCACCTGGATTTATAATGAACTTCCTAGAATGGTAGTTTTCCTTCATATCTTCAGGCATGTAAACCTTTCAATAGTCACGTTCTGCATGAAGGAAAACTACTGATCTTAAGTTTGACATTCTCTTTGTTGTGGCTATGTGTATTGCTATGTATAATTGCATTACTTGATTAAGCTGCAACCTGCTACCCATGATACCTTTACTTCGCAGTCTATTTAAAAGTCCTTAGTATCAATTTATTCTCATTATGTATGATGTTGTTGGAATAGGTTTGTGAGGATGCCATCATTTGAATGAATTTTTGCATGGAAAATTTGGAATCCACAGCTAGGAATGATCTCCAATTTGATTATGCTTTAAGGGTTAGACAGAACTCAGTATGGACAATTTCAGTTCCTAGGATCTAGACGTAACTTCTTCCTTTCATGTCATGATTTATTGCAATTCTAATTAATGAATTTTCCTTGGTAGTTATTCGGTGTTGTTTAACATTTGATTAGAGTTCCCTTGAGAATTTCTTATTTTCAATCATTATGTCAGTCCTGCAGCTCATTGATGTTCCACAAAGAGTTTCTTCTCGGCCCATTACTATTCCTTGCTGCCTTTCTTGAACTTCAGTAGTTTGGAATGGGTAGAAAACACTGCCTCCTACTACTTCCCGTTTTGCTCTACCACCAGTGGTTTTATCACATTGACAATTTCCAACATCGCTAGAGACTTTCTCAAAGAAACATAGATTCCTCAAAGACTCGGAAAGCGCAGAAGAAAGGGTGGAAACCATGAACAACAGTTATCTTTTGCAATTGAGATGCAGAGGGGTATGACATGATTCTACTCTTTCCTCCCCATCATTCTATCTTAGTTATGTGTGCATGTGGCATAAGCAGAACGAAAAACATAACCTACTTCTCTAAACATGCAGGTAGGATCAACTAAATGGGTTAAAGACAAGAACCCAGGTGTGGCATGGTCTCTACTCTTTTTTGTTTTGTTTTCTTTTGTTTTTTTCATTCTATCTTAGTTATGTGTGTGAATGTGGCATAAGCAGAAGGAAAAGCATAACCTACTGCTCTAAACATGCATATAGGTTCAACTAAATGGGTTGAAGACAAGAACCCAGGTGTTGAAATCAAAAGTGGTGGCGTAGTGTGAGCGGATCTCTTGACCATTGAAAATGAGCAACAAAAGTATTGGTGAAGAGCAACCTCTTGGCCATTGAAAATAAGCAACAACAAAATTGGTACAGTCCATGCGCTTTCATTTTCTTTATAAACTTCATCATCTCTGTATTTGGTGCACTATATGTCACTTTATTGTGGTTGGTGCTTCTCTAAATATAGTCTATTAATTGATTGGTATCAGTCGTTATTTGCGAGAGACATGTGCTTCATTCATTGTGATACTCAGGTAGCCAACGTACTCTTGGATTCAAGCTCGAAGCCAATGTACTTTATGCAAGTAGGGTGATGGGAACTTTCGGGTAATGTTCTGATGGAGTTTTACTTTTTTGAAGTGGAGGATATTATAGTCAAATCTTCTGAACTCGATTTGTTCATGCATTTGCTTTGTTTTTATGTAGATACTTGGCTCTCGAGTATGCTTCAAGTGAAAGCTCTCTGACAAATTCAGTGCAGATTAAGTAAGTTTCTTTGCTTCACCTTTGAATTTTCATATGCAGAGCAGGCCTTCCGGTTACTTCAGAAAAGATAATCAACTTCATTGTTGTATTGTTGTTATGGGATAGGTTAGTACAGTCATGAGTCAACTGTGACACTCATTTGATGATTGAACTTCCTCAGAAATACTAGCCACCAAAGCAAGTGATAACTTCTGCTCCATGCTTCCATATCAGGAGTCAAGTCCTCCCAATGTTGGGAAATTCGATATACTTTGAAGAGGAAGGAAATGCAACGGGACTTTACATCATCCAATACATATCTAGCAGCTTCGACTGGGAGTCTGGACAGTTCTTGCTCAAGAAGAAAGTTGCAACTTGCAAGTGACATTGACAGTTTTGCTGAAAGATGTTAAATACAGTTAGCTATACTCATGAACTCTTTTGAGTTGATTACTTAGCTGCAGATCAATGAAAGTCACTGTATAGTTGTCCAATATGGTCAATTTGTATTAGAGAAATGTTGTCATTAAGACTTATACTTAAATGCAGTCGAAATGTTGAAAGAGGCACAAAAACAATCCTAACTTCAATTAGCACTCTAATTTTGGGTTATATAACAAAAAAATCTGACCCAACGTCAAATTCTCATGGTCCTTGGATTTCAAATCCTATAAAATAGTTTATGCAACATATGAATTGAAGGACACATAAACTATGGAGAGTAATAAGATTTTAATTCAGGTTTGCCTATTTGGTATTAGAAAATCACCAAGTGATGGAGCATGTATGTCAAAGGTGATATTAGAATTTATGGTATTTGCTTGGTAAGTGTTTATCGACTCCGCGCCTTTAGGTTGTATTGAACTGGGCGAGAATGCTAAATGGATATTGGTCAGTATTATTTGAGATTGAAGAGTAACCGATAATGAGTGATCAAAAATGGGTTTCTAACTTCAAAATGTGATTGCTTTTCAGGGTAAAACTCAAATAAAGTCGGTTCAATGCAAATATTAACTAATTGCGCGCAAAGCAACATTATTTGTTCGATGACCTTGGTCTCGTTACTCATGAGTTGGGTACAAAAGATAACTACACTTTAGTACCTTTCAAGGGCCATTATGTTCTAGAGTCGACCATCTTCTCTCCATTATTTGTTTAGTGTCCTTGGTCCTATCAGTTGGCGAGAAAAATCTAATAGTAACAGTACATTCCAATGGCCATTATGGCCTAGAGTCGGATCTTTTCTCTTCCGTATTTGGGTTTAGCTTCTTACATAGCCTTCCTTGGAGATTCTATAGCACATGGATTTTATGTTTGTCTCTATGCGGGTTCTGCTCGAGAATTCAGAGCGGTGTCGAAACTAGCAGGCTCAATCTTATTATGAGTTTGCTTAGGTATCCTTATCAATTAAGTGTTTACTTCCATTGTCAGTAACATATCTTTTGGGCAGAGTACTTTAGTGAGTTTTGTCCCCATATTTTTTTCACTGCTACAATTTCTTTGTACACACGTTGAATGTTGCTATCCTTTACAACTTAAGATTGCTGAAATTTTACTACGACAATGTGGGTGTGGATTGATTTGATGTCTAAAGTCTATTTCTCTTATTATATTGCTTTTAAATATACTATGTTCCTGCGGCGTAGCCATGGGTATTGATACTAGTATCAATAATTATCCCATGTCATGTTCCATGTGTAGTTAGGGTAGACTAGTACTGCAATTGTGCTTTCTTTCTACACATGTGCATGCAGTGGTAGATGATGCAATTCTGGGGTTATCAACTTTGATTTTCAGCGAGTAATTGTGTTGGTGTGAAGATGGAGAATGTCATTTACTAGAATCACTGGTCAAATTATTTTTGGTGTGTATGTTGACCTCTTGACTTACTAGAAGCACTGGTCATGATGCGTCGAGATTATAGCAGGATAGATTTTCCTTTTTATCGACAAAGTGTTTTTTATCATAAATAAAACTAGGTGCATGTATATTCTTATACTTTTTTTTATAACGAAATCCTTATTATAAAAGAAAATTTGCATGTTTATTCTTAAAATGGTGACATTTTGGTCTATAGTGCTCCCTTCCTCCTAGTTTTTCATGAGTTAACATACTTGAGGGTGATGGAGTTGCCTATACATCACAAACGTGCTACTCGGTTGTGTGTCTAAACTAATCTAGCATCGGTTAGCTTGGAAATTGGACTACTAAGGGACTAGAGCTATGAATGAGAGATGTAGCAGTAAAGCTGCTTGATGAGCTGTGAAACTTAGCTCTTCGTGTGTCATTATTGTGAAGTTGTAACCAACCAAAAGAATCCCCCACCACGAGGACCAAGAAAGGCCACCCACCATCTTATTCTTCACCACCATCACCATTAAATGCTCTTCCTCCCTTTCTCTCTCAACTGCTTGTTAATCACCAAACCCAACCCCAACTCACCCAAAAATTCATTATGAATCCAATCCAAAAAGGCCAAAGCAATCACATTTGGCATGTAGCTACATCTTCATCCAGCTAGCAGAACACCAGAAACCACCCAACACCTGTCTCTCCTTCCTTATAACCTCTCTCTCAATCCTCTCCTTTCCATTGATCAAATCTCCCTAAAAAACCATGGAGTCTTTCTTCCCCAGGAGGCTCTCCAGCTACCAGAAACTGGAGTACGGTGGAGAAGAGTCACAAGATGAAGGAGGTGTTGGCCATTTTGATGGTGGTTTCATTGGAAGGCCAACAGGTAGGAGCAACTTGTTCAGGTTCAGAAGGGTGCAATGGAGGCGGAGGAGAAGGAGATCACCATCATCACCAGGCTTCATGAGGGTCAAAGTTTCGAGCTTGATTAGGAGGAAGAGAGTGGTGATGAGGATGGTTAGAGCTTCCATCAGGAAAGTGCTGAAGAGGTTGAAAGAAGGCCATGCTCATTTTGGTGATCTCTTTGCTGGGAACTATCTCTTCCTGCAGATCAATCCCACTTCTTTGAAGTCCTTGCAGAAAAGTTACAATAGTACTCCTCCTGGTTTTCACTTTAGCCCCAGGATTCCTCAATCATGATTGAGATTTGAACATCTTTGGTGTTTGTTGAAGTTGGTTCGGTTTTAGTAGTCTGTAGTCATTAGATGATGTAATCTTCTATCTGTGTCAAGTGTAATTTACTTTCTAATCTAATGTTTCTCCTCTTTTGAAATACCTTCTTTTCTGACTTTCCCCATCTGTAATCCTTTTGATTTCATTGGACTGGGTAGAAATAAATGGCTGACTGAATTCAGTGGTGTCTGAATGTACTGATTTTGAAAGTTCTGTGATTTATTACATGAGGAAGAAGTTATGTACTTTTACTTCTTAAGGCAAATATAAGGAGTTGATATTTGGTGGGTATGCAGTGTATTTGGCAGAAAGAATGGCGCTAGTTAATGGGCCAGTTCTATATTCTTCTTACTTGTCCTGTACCAGTCACCATTCCTTTATGCTCCATGTGAGGTTGCATGGCTGAATGAGGCATGGGGTTGTAGAAAAATACCATGCATTTGCCCAACTGGGTATGATGATATGGACCCATCTGGTTTTCTGGCATCCATGTGTATCCGTGCTTGCAGTTTTCCAGTTGATGGTAATTTACACAGGAGGTAATCGAATTCAAGGGAATCTTACATTACAACTTAGTTTCGTGTATGCATTTGGTCATTCAGCTGATACAAATCCCTTAGGTTAATCACTCTTGCTGCTCGAAGATCTCGATCATCATCTTCGATCATCAGGTTGATCGTATTAGAACTTGGACCGTCCAAGTCATTCATAGCTACAGAGATGGTGACTTTATATCTTTCCAAGCTAAGTCGTACAAACCTCATACAGAATGGTTTGAACTTAGTAGCTCTCTAAGCTAGATACTAAGTCAGCATCCAGTTACATTGACCATGGAGCTTCAGCCAATTTTGTGAACCTCACCTCAACATCCTCCTCATTTTCCAATCTCTCTATCTCTTCATCAATCCTCTTCATTCTACCCACCGATTTCTCTAGTTTCGCCTTCAAAGCCTTCACCTCCTCTCCCACTTCAACTCTCTCAGTCTTCAATTTCTTGCACCTATTGGCATGGTCAGAAAGCCCTATGAGCTGCCTCAACCTGGTGAGTATGAACTCCACATTCATTCCCAGCTTCTCGAATCCTGACAATGTGTTTTCCCAAGTTGCAAACTCTTCCTTCTGTCGAGTACCGAACTTTGCAGTCCTTACTGCATCAGCAATGTTAGTGGTCTCAGCGATTATTCCGGCTATCAGCTTACAGTTAAGCCCATTGGGAATATGTTGGTGCAGGAAAGACTTCTGGCTGCTGCATAGTTCGTAGTACTTGTACTGAAGCTGTTTGGAGAGTTCACAGTTGATGATCAGGCCGTTAACCACAATGTCAAAGTCATCAAAGTTCTTCACTTGCTGGAAATCAACAGCTGGTTGATCTGATGACATAATTATCCCATCTGAGATATCAAAACCGAAATCTTCCTTGCTTCCATTCTTGGGCTCGTCTTTATGTACTATAATTTTGCAGTTGGTGATGCTGGTCTTCTCAGCTTCTTTGGCACTTGTCTCGACCTTTCTCTTGGATCTTCTACTCGCTTGCTCTGAGGCACTTGCTCTCACTACGTAGACCTAAGGAGATGGCAAAACTGTCAAATATTCTACCCTTAATTTCAAGTAGAAGACACGCAAACTTTAGGCTGTAGGGAAAAAAGAGAAGTCACCTTGAACTTGGTCGGTTCAAGTAACTGGAAAACCACAACATCGCCTTGAGCTAACTTGTGATGGATGGAGAAAGCTCTCCATCCGCCGCTAAGACAATGCTTACTAGCTAAGAATTGGGCGGGATGAACTTTGCCATTGTCATCTTCTAGGTCGATCACCTTGTCCTTGTCAGGCAAATGCTTGTAGCAGAACCCTGCCACAAGATGCTGTCGTGACCGCAGCAATCCAGATAAGATACAAGCATCCAACACTCCCGGGGCGGAAAAGACATTGACAAGACAAAACACCATGTCGAATTTCCAATAGACTTACCAAGGAAAACCCAATATGTGAAGGGTGCATAAGCTTCATCAAGGTAGGAAAGTTTCCAGGTAAACTAGAAGCAAACTCATGTGCTTTTCTCATTGCAGCATTGTCAACCTCGCCACTTACATACAGATTCTCCATGGAGGCCCTCTTCCCCATAGAACTGAAGATATCTTTCTGATTCTTGACTGACTTTACAGGAGACTTGATTGCGACTATATCTGCTTCCTGTTATAAGTACTGTTAGACAGTCAATTAGTTTACTGTGGAACAATGTTCAAGTGGGATAATCATGCTTTTGAATCCTGTCGAAATAGGTTGACTCATTTTGACAATGCATAAACATTTGCGAAAGAATGATGACTAATGAAAGCAAATTACTAAATCGGGTCAACCAGATCAGATCAAAATTCTTAACCTGAGGTAGACCAAGCACATACATATTCAAGCTTTCTTCCTTTGTTTCAAAACCCATTTCCTTTCCCTTCCTATTTCTCCACAACCCCCTACGTTAAACATCTCTTTCAAAGTTCAGAAAAAAGGTAAATAGCTCATGCATTCAGCTTTTCACTAAGAACCCTCCAGACCCAATTTGATTTCAGTAATGATCATGCAAGGAATGAACCGCCAAACAACTGGATGACAGCAAGCTAAAGAAAGAAATCTCAAAAGGGCAATTGAAGCAAACTAAACAGATCTTCAGAAGGGCATTGTTGAGTGCCACCAAACAAAGCTCATTAGAGTAGAGACTGAAAGAAAGAGAGAACGGAAGCGGAGTCGGTATTCTCGCCTCATTGCTGCAGGAAACAGCCCCGTCGCAAACTTCCCGTGGCCTTCTCTTCTTCGCCTGCAGCAGAATCAGAGCAGGCGATCAGCCGTCAATTGTCCAGCTCAAAGCTTTCACTCATGCAGCAGATCAAGAATGTAAAATGACAAAAAGAGGGTCTTTAGCATTGGGTTCGGCCTGATATCTCTTAGCTTGAAGAACGGTCATGATGCTAACCACACTAGCAATTCTTTCTTCTTCTCTTTTGGGGATGAATGGATTGCTGCAGCAGGAATTCCAAGCTGCAGACTTTCCACAGAGACCAGAAGGGTAGAAGAGAAACAAATGAAAACAAATGCAGTTATGTGAAGATTGGTTCAGCTAATTCATCCGAGAAGAAGGTTGGGTACTTGGGTTGGGCTTCTAAATCAACTGGCTAGCTACATGCATATGGAAAATTACTTCTTGGATACCCAACTCAACTTATTTAGTCATCAGTCGAAGTGGTAAATTTAATTTAGGTAACCATAATATTATTTGCTACTCATTTACAATATTTGGTCGTTTGATTTGATTTGCTACTCCGACCTTCAAATGGTAGCAAATTTATGATGTAAAACTACAACAATTCACATTGAATTTTAATCATTACGAGTTTGGAACGAAATTGTCAATTATTATCAACAGTTATCGTAAATCGTTGACAAACTGGCAATGTCCAAGTCTGATGAGTTTGGATGTGAAAGATTGTGAGGAATGTACAGAGTACAGACTAAATGGGGTAATACTGTGCCAGAGAGCACACTACAGTCTAACCATATGCCTCATTCAGAGTTTCTAACCTTAGCTTCTGCAGCTCCAAATTCATTGGGTGAAGGATCAGCTCAACTAGTAGCAAACCATTACAAACAAATCGATGTATCATGTTCAAGAGCTTACTTTTCTAAAGCTCTGTACATTGAAACTCTTGTGCACAAAGTGAATTACCAGTTACCCCTAAGTCAGCAAGTCACATTTAAAGACTCAAGACCTGAGATTCTTATTATCAACTCAATGTTTATATAGTACAAGGTAACAGAGTGTGCAACGGAAGGAAAGTAACAGAAAGAGTGAAAGCTGGAGAGAAAGATGGAGTACAACGTTCCACAGTTAACAAATAACAAGAAGCCTAAAAGACTGGAAGCAGGTACACTTCATCACCCCCCCGCAAGTTGAGGCTCAGAGAGTCGAAACTTGGAGCAGAACTTGATGAAGGGCTGTCGAGGTAATGGTTTAGTGAGGACATCTGCAAGTTGTTCGGGAGCCGGTAGAAAATGCACGTGAAGCTGCCCTTTGCTGACTTGATCACGCACAAAGTGGAACTCGATTTCCATATGCTTCGACCGATTGTGGAACACTGGATTGTGAGCAAGGAAAGTGGCCCCTAAGTTGTCACACCAAAGAGCTGGAGCTGAGGGCAGCTGCTGTCCTAATTCAGTGAGTAAGGACTGTAACCAGAGGACCTCCGAAGCGAGAGTAGCAAGAGCACGGTATTCACATTCGGTAGACGATCGTGCAACAGACTTTTGTTTCCGTGTTGACCAGGAAACCAAATTCGATCCGCAAAAGACAGCGAACCCAGTTACAGACTTGCGATCCTGTGGGCAAGATGCCCAAGAGGCATCTGAATATCCATGAACATGAAGAGAAGAAGATTTGGTGATGACGAGACCACGATCGACAGTGCCTTTCAAGTATCGTAGAATCCGTTTGACAGCGGCCCAATGATTATCCGTCGGAGAGTGCTGAAATTGAGAAACATGATTCACCGCAAATGCAACGTCGGGGCGAGTAAAACTGAGATACTGCAGACCGCCGACTATACTGCGATACATAGCTGGATCTGTGAACAGAGGAGAAGATGACATGGCGGACTGCTGAACAATCTCATTTGTGCAGGGTGTGGAGATTGCATTTGCCTCGGACATATGAGCACGTTCAAGTAAATCCTGTATGAATTTGCGCTGCCGAAGAAGAATACCAGTGGGCGTGCGACACACTTCAATGCCAAGAAAATAGGACAGAGGGCCCAACTCACGAAGAGCAAAGTTGTTGCGGAGAAATGTGAACAGCCGTTGTATGAAAGATGAATCATTACCCGTGATGACTATGTCATCGACATAGACGAGCATATAAACCCGGGTTGGACCAGTCTTATAGATGAACAAAGACGGATCAGTTCTGGAAACAGAGAATCCAAAGCGGGTAAGTGCTGCAGCAAGACAGGCAAACCATGTACGGGGCGCTTGACGGAGACCATAAATTGATTTTCGTAGACGACATACATAATCGGGCTTGTCGGGATCGACAAAGCCTGCTGGCTGCTGCATATAGACTGTTTCCTGGAGGTGACCATGAAGGAAGGCATTTGCGATATCGATTTGATGAAGAGGCCAGCCTTGAGTTACCGCCAGACCGAGAATTAGGCGAAGCGTTGCAGGCTTGAGCACAGGGCTGTATGTTTGTTGAAAATCCAGGCCCGGAATCTGCTCATAACCACGAGCAACCAAGCGAGCACGACGGCGATCCAACGAACCAGTTGGGTGAAGTTTGGTGCGGTAGACCCATTTATTGGAGAGGATATTGCAGTTGGGTGGCGGGGGAACCAAGTCCCAGGTGTGGTTGCGTTGCTGCGCATCGAATTCCTCTTGCATAGCCGAGCGCCAGAGTGGGTTCTTGAGAGCCTGTTTGACAGAGGTGGGAGTGTCATCGATGTGGAGGGTAGAGAGAAAGGTCTTGGGTTTTAGGTTTCCTGTTTTGATTCGGGTTACCATGGGATGATTTGAGCTCGTGGGGTGGGTAACAGTGAGCAGTCTGGGAGAGGTGGAAAAAGGTGGGCGATCTGAGATTGGGCGGCGAGGGGGCAGGGGTGTAGGTGTCCGACGAGAGGGAGGGTTGGAGGACGAGGGAGATGGGAGGATGATAGATGGGGAGGGCGGGTCAATTTGTGCTTGATGGAGCGATTGGGGTGGGGAGGAAGAATTGGGTAGTGAGGCAGAAGGCGATTGCTGGATAGCTGCAGAGGGGGAAGAGGGGATAGCCGGTTCAGGACGTTGAGGGTGGGCGGAGGCAAAACGACGGCGCGTGTATTGAAGAAGAGGGCGAGTTGGGGGGGGAGAGGTCTCTGTAGCGGGCTGGGTGGGCGTGGGATGTGGCTGGGGGAGGGTTGGAGGAGAGGGATTATTGGGCTTGGGATGTGGCTGTGGGAGGGTTGTAGGAGAGGAATTATTTGGGCTGGGAATGGTAGCTATAATGGGCTCGGAGATGGCAGGGGGTGATGGGCCAGGAATGGATGCAGGTGGAGAAGGAAGCAAAATGGACGGGGAGGTAGAATTAGTGGGTAAGGATGGAGAGGGGAAAGGCAACTCAGCAAACGGAAAACGAGCTTCATCAAATAAAACATGGCGACTAACATAGATCCGACCAGTGGGAATGTGAAGGCAACGATAACCCTTATGGAGTTTGCTATACCCAAGAAAAACGCACGGAACAGAGCGAGGAGCCAATTTGTTGGGGGTGAGCGGACGAAGCCAAGGGTAGCAGAGACACCCAAAGACTCGAAGATTAGCGATATCGGGGGCGCGTTGAAAAAGAAAATGAAATGGGGAATCATGAGCAAGAAGCGGAGTAGGTGTACGATTGATTAGATAACAGGCTGTGTCGAAAGCAAGAGGCCAGTATTTCAAGGGAACACCGGAGTGATGGAGAAGAGCAAGACCGTTATTAACGATATGCCGATGTTTACGTTCGGCGCACCCATTTTGTTCAGGGGTATAAGGACACGAAGAGCGATGAGCGATGCCATTTTGGGCGAGATAAGTGGATAGGGCTTGATATTCACCACCCCAATCGGATTGAAAAGTTTTAATGGGGAGACCAAAAAATTTTTCCACTAATTGCCGAAATTGAATAAAAACATTAAGCAATTGTGATTTATAACGAATAAAATAAATCCACGAGAATTTGCTATAATGGTCATAGAAAAGAATATAATAGGATTGCTCATCGTACGACAAAATAGGAGCAGGGCCCCATACATCACTACAGACGAGTTCGAGAGGGGCTTGAGCAGTGAACGTGGAAGCAGAAAAAGGGAGTTTGTGGATTTTACTGACGGCACAGCCATGACACAAAGAAGGAGGTGATTGGTTGAATTTTATTTGATGCTGTTGAAGGACTTGCTTGACCGCACGTTCGTGAGCATGCCCAAGTCGACGATGCCAAGTGTCAAACGAAGCTACACAAGCAATAGGGGAAAGAGGCCGAGAAATATGGAGAGGAAGCGAGTAAAGACCGTCCACGGCGAAGCCACGATGAAGTTCACGCCCCGTGCGTCGGTCCTTGATGAGAAACAGAGAATCAAAAAATTCAATCGAGATAGGATTAGAACGAGTGAGAGAGCTAATGGAGAGAAGATTGTAGGGAGCACCACGCACATGCAGAATATTATCCAAAGAAATTGAAGTATTGGATAAAGAAGTCGAGGAGGATCCAAAACTAGAGATGGGAAGAGAGTTACCGTTGCCAAAAGTCACTTGGTCAGTCCCGTTGTACTCAGAATGATGAGCAAGATTATCCAATTCCGAGGTGAGATGATGATTCGTCCCCGAATCCAAAATCCATTGGTGAGAATCAAAGGGCTGGACAGGCGAGGATGAAAAAAGAGTGTGTGGGCCAGCAGGGGATCGAGATGGGCGGGGATGGGCAGGCTGGACAGGTTGGGCCGAGGAAGCATGTTGATTAAGCAATGGGCTGGGGCAGTGAGGTTTAATGTGACCTCTCCCTCCACAGTTGTAACAGACTTGAGCACCAGTGGGCCGAGGCCCAAGAACCCCATGCGCTGGGCTTGACCTGCCAAAGGAATCAAATGAAACAGAAGGGTTAGAGAAATAACGCAGCCGACCATTGCCGCGGCCTCTGCCACGGCCGCCTCTGCCGCGGATGCCGCCAGCGCTGGAGAAGAAAGCCGACGGTGCTGGAGAGTCGGAGTGCGAAGCATAACGCTGAATCTGAAGTTCTTCACTGAGGAGAAGGGAGTGCAGATTTTCGAAACTGATGGGCTCCAGCCTGGCCTCGATGTGGCGCACGAACGGCCGATAATCTTCTCCTAGGCCATCGAGGATCCAAGCGGTGAGGTCGTCGTTTTTGACAGGAGATCCCAGGGCCGCCAATTGATCCGCCTTGGTTTTGGCATTTTGAAGGTAGTCATGGATGCTGGCGTCGCCGCGACGGAGGTTTTGGAGTGTCTTGGTAAGCCCTCGAATCTGAATTTGCGAACCAGAGGCGTAGATGGTGGCAAGAGCTGACCACGCATCAAACGCTGTGGCTTTGTTGATGATGTTGGGCATTACCGATTCAGAGAGGGAGAAGTTGATCAAAGTAAGGACATATTGATCTCTTTGATACCAAGTCCAGTAGGCTGGATTGGGTTGGCCATCAACAGATTGTGGTGGAGCGGGAAGCGAGCCGTCGACATGGCCCATCAAACAGTGACAGCGAAGAAGCGGGGTTATTTGAGCATGCCACAGGAGGTAGTTGGTGGGAGTGAGTTTGACACTGAGCTGGGGATTGGCCGGGAGAGAGATAGCTGAGAACATGGACGACATAGGGTTAGAATTGCCTGAGGCAGAGGAAGAAGAAACTGAGGATGATTCGGTGGTCATGGAGTGGCAGAAGGGAAGCAGGAAGAACAGGGGGAAGAACAGAGAGACTCGTTAGAGTGTAGGCAGGCTCTGATACCATAAAGACTCAAGACCTGAGATTCTTATTATCAACTCAATGTTTATATAGTACAAGGTAACAGAGTGTGCAACGGAAGGAAAGTAACAGAAAGAGTGAAAGCTGGAGAGAAAGATGGAGTACAACGTTCCACAGTTAACAAATAACAAGAAGCCTAAAAGACTGGAAGCAGGTACACTTCATCAACATTCACCATGGAGATTTAGCCAATTCTCTGTACCTCACCTGAACATCATCTACCTCCAACCTTTCGATCTCTTCATCAATCCTTTTCGTTCTTCTCACCCACTTCTCGAGCTGCACTTCCAGAGCCTTCACCTCCTCTCCCACTTCAGCTCTCTCAGTCTTCAATCTCTTCAACCTATTGACATTGCCACAAAGCCCCATGAGCTGCCTCAACCTGGTTAGTATGAACTCCACATTCATCCCAAGCTTCTCAAATGCCGACAAAGTGCTCTCCCAAGTCACAAACTCTTCCTTCTGTTGGGCACCAAGTTCTGAAGCCCTTATGGCATCAGCTATATTTATGGTCTGGGAGATTACCCCGGCAATCAGCTTACAGTTGAGGCCATCGAGAATGCGTTCATGGAGGAACAACTTCTGGCTGCTGCATAGTTCATAGTACTTGTGCTGGAGCTGCTTAGAGAGCTCACTATTGATCACCAAGCCATTCACTATTATGTCAAAGTCAGCAAAGCTCTTCACTTGTCGGAAATCAATAGTGGATTCTGATGACATCCTAATACCGTCGGGGATATCGAATCCAAAATCTTTATCACTTCCATTCTCCGACTCATCAGGTACGTAGTTATCATCAAAGGAAAGATCAGAATTGTGGACAGTCTTGAAAGTTGCTTTGCCACTTGTGCTCATATTCTTGGCATGAACTGGAGGGAAAGCAAGCTTTTACAATAAAATTTACCTTATTCTACCTCTACTCAGTTTCAGCTACTTCAACCCAGACTACCTTAAAAGCCATAACAAACATAACAAATCACTTGCTTGAGGGTGGGGGTGGCAGGAAGAGGGGTTTAATCTTACCAGGTTTCTTTTCCATATCAAGAGCACCATCTACTCCCTCTGACCTACTTGTCCTCACAATATAGACCTTGAGAAATGGTAAGAGTCAAATTATAGTTCCTTGAAAATTTGAACTCTTAAGCAGAAGAAACTGAAACTTTAAATAATACCTTGAACTTGGTTGGCTTAAGTAACTGGAAAACCAAAACATCTCCTTCAACTAAATCATGCTTGCCGGCGAAAGCTGCCCATCCCGCGCTGAAAGTGTTCTTATAGGCTAGATACTTTGTCGCGTGAACTTCACCATTTTCATCCTCCAACTCGATCATTGAGTCCTCCTCAGGTAAATGCTTGTGGCAAAACTCTGCCAAGAGACGCTGCCATGCCAGCACCAATCCAGTAACGTAGACATTAACAAGCATCCAAATTCCTAAATCATTGAAGGTAATGCAAACCATGTCAAATTTCAATAGGCTTACCACTGAAGCTCCTCTAGTAACATGTGAAGGGTGCATGACCTTTATCAATGAAGGAGAGTTTGCAGGTAGATTAGATACAATCTCCTGTGCTTTTCTCATTACATCATTCTCAGGCTCGTAAGAGCTGCAAGGCATGAAGTTCAGAAGATATTAATGACCATCTAAAATGAAGAAGTGATGCAGCTTAAGAGTATGAAATTGTGAGATTTTGGCTGACCTTGCAGTTGACTTGATTGGAACAAAGCCTCCTTTCTGTTATATAAGCATGAAACAGTCAATTTCCCCCCAAATTTTATGTGTTCACGGAAATTTTGGAATGGCCACCTCAAGTTTGGGATTTCAAGCCTAGGAGGAAGACAACTATTTGACTAGAAACTCACTACAACCAGTTGATTGTCAGTCATGACCATGCAAAGGAACCACTAAAGAACTTGATTGAAGCGAACTAAAGAAATCTCAAAAGGGGAATGACTAATGAGAACCACCGAACGAAGGCCAGTAAGCAAAGACTGAATGGAGGAGAGAGAGAGAGAACCAGAGCAACCCCATCGTTGAATTCTTGCGTGCTTCTTTTCTCACCCTGCAGCATAATCGAAGAAAGAAAAAGACACCAAGATTGATTCAAACAAGGAGAGAGGGGTGTGAAGCTGAAAGTTACAGCTTTGCAAGTAGAGAGTAAACTTACCGAACGAGAAGGTCTTTGGAAAATGGGTTCAGCCTGCTCTTCCTTGACTTGAAGGATGGTCATGGTCCTAGTTGCAGTAGAATTTGATGACGCCAGTAGCAATTCTCTCTTTCTTCGTTCTTCTTTCTTCAGTAGCAATTCCAGTTGCAGAGCGAAGCTCAGAACCAGAGGGGAAGGAGAATAGAACACGAACAGTAATAGAACAGAAAGTAGAAATGAAACAGTCATGTGCTTTTGGGTTGGGCTTTCTTCATAAATGAAAAAGTTGGGCTGGGCTTTCATATTGGGCTAGCTCAGGACAGGATTGAGCTCTCACAGGTCACAGTCCCAAATAAAGAGCTTCTGGATCCTAATCCTTCCTTTTATTGCAAGGAACAAGAGCATGTGACTAATCTATAAACCAAGCTAGAGAGTTGAAAGCCTCTCTTTCTTAGGTCTTCAAACATGGAAATGTTACCATGGAAGATGATCTTGACAAGAGAGCATATTCTATGTTATGAAATGCATATAATGATGTTGCTACACGTGTAGAACATAGTTAGACCATTATCAGATGTCTGCTAATCACACTCTAATCTTCAAAAGCAAGCCTACTGACCAAAACCACAAGTCTCCTTAGATAACTAAAACCTTACTTCTATTAGCTCCAACTTCATTTGTTGAAGGGCCAGGCTCGACTATCAATTAGCCATTACATACAAAATAATCAATGCACCATGTTCAAGAGCTTCCTTTTCCAAACTCTTGTGCAACAAAATGAATAACCTGTGTTACTACTTACTACAAGTCAAACTGACCATGGAGCTTTAGCCAATTCTCTGAAGTTCACCTCAACATCCTCCACATCGTCAATTTCCAACTTCTCGATCTCTTCATCAATCCTTCTCATTCTTCCAACCGATTCCTCGACTTTCGCCTCCAGAACCTTCACCTCCTTGCCTACCTCGACTCTCTCAGTCTTCAACCTCTTACACCTATTGGCATTGTCACAGAGCCGCATGAGCTGCCTCAATCTGGTGAGTATGAACTCCACATTCATTCCCAGCTTCTGAAAAGCCAACAACGTGCTCTCCCAAGTCACAAAGTCTTCCTTCTGCTGACCGTTATCATTAACCCCGCCGTTGAATTTTGAAGCTCTTATGGCATCAGCAATGTTAATGGTCTCGGCAATTACTCCCGCTATCAGCTTACAGTTGAGACCATTGAGGATTTGTTCATGGAGGAACAACTTCTGGCTGTTGCATAGTTCATAGTATTTGAGCTGGAGGTGCTTTGAGAGCTCGGAGTTGATCACCAAGCCGTTCACAATAATGTCAAAGTCATCAAAGCTTTTTACTTGCTGGAAATTAACAGCTGATGCTGAAGACATCCTGATTCCATCTAGGACATCGAATCCGAAACCTTCATCACTTCCATTCTCAGAATCCTCTGGTTCATAGTTATCATCAGCAGAAATATCAGACTCATCAACAGTCTTTGTGACAGTTGCTTTGCCACTTCTGCTCAGATCCTTTGCATGAGCTGAACGGAATAAAAGGATCAGAGCTTTTACTACAAGTACGAATGAAATTCAGCACATTCTCCTTCCACCCAGTTTCAGCCACTTCAACAAGTAATTTGCTTGGGTTGGGGGAAAAGAAGCTTACCAGATTTCTTTTCCAAAACACCATCCAGCTCCATAAGGTCAAGAGCACCCTCCACTTCCTCTAAGCTAGATTTCTCTTCCAAACTAGTCTTCTCCAGTTTTAGAAGGCCAAGAGCAACATCATTTTCCTCGAAATCACGTGCCCTTACAATGTAGACCTACAGAAATGGCAAAATATGGTCAAAATATGCAGATCTGATGAACTATTTAGTATTTAACTCTAAGTAGAAGTAACTGAAACTTTAGGCCCAGAAATTTAATAGAATGAGTTGAAACCAAGTTACCATGAACTTATTTGCCTTAACTAGCTGGAAAACTACGACATCTCCTTTGACCAATTTGTGATCGGTTGAGAACTTTCTCCATCCCCCGCTAAGTCCTGCCTTTCCGACTAGACAATTCACGGGAAAGACTTTGCCATCCTCATCTTCCAAGTCCATCATCATGTCCTTTTCACCCAAATGCTTGACGCAAAACTTTTTGCAAAGACCCTGGAGCAATGCGGAGCATCACTGTAAGGTTTACCCATGTCAATATTTATAGCATTATGATATGTCAAACTTTGATTGCACTCGCTTACCAGCCAAAACCCACCCGAGATTTGAGAAGGCATCATAAGCTTTATCATGGTAGGGAAGTTTCTTGGTAGACTGGCTTCTATCTCCTGTGCTCTCTTCATTACAGCATTCTTAACTTCGCCATTAACATATACACTTTCGCTGGTCGCCCTCTTGAAGCCAGACTTGGCTGGAACAATCCCCCTTTCCTGTCATAAGCATCAATAGTAAATAATTTTCGCATTTCATGTGCTCAAAGAAAATAGAATGCACACTTTAAGTACGGAATGAATGTGTTCTCTTTTCTTCATCACCTCGCTACCACAGAAAGCACTGAGAACCTTCATAGCCCAAAATAGGGAAGAAAAGGTTAAATCAAATAACTTACCTGTGTGTCTTCAATCTTTCACAAGTTACAAACCTTCCAAAAGTATAGCAAATAGCCAGAATATGCCTTTTCAAAAACCCATTTTCCTTTCCTTTCACTACTTATGCACTCAAACCCCAAAGTGATATTCCTTCAAACAAAATGTGCTAATGCCCAATAGCCGATTCATGAAATTTTGACTAAGAACAAAAGGGCATTGAGGAACCACCAAACGGAAGCACAATAGAGCAGACGGTGGTGAGAAGAGAGAAAGAGGAGAAGAGAAGGTGAGTGGGTTTCTCACCTGTTTGTTAGAGGACGAAACCTTCACCTTCTCTGGCCTACCATTCTTCTCCTGCAACAGAACAACGGAGAAAGTCAGGCTCAAAGCTTCATATATGCAGAGCCTATAGCATCGTAGTGTTGAAACAAAGATAAAAACCTGCTCTTTCTTCACTTGAGGAATGGTCATGGTTGTGACAGTGGTAACGATCGGTTCTTTTGTTTTCTTTTTCTTTTTGGTGGAGCTTTGAGATCAGAGGACTGGAATGGTGGACAAGAGAGGGAAGAACAGTGAGAAAAACAGGGGAGCTGTAGTTTTTCAAAATGTTTTACCCTTTTCAAAATGGATGTGATGGTGATGGTGATGGTGATGGTGATGGTGATGGACGGAAGTGAGTGGAGAATGGCTTTGTATTTTTTATTTTATTTTACTGGAAAGTGGGAGAGTGGCTTGTGGAGAACTGGAGATTGAAGAGATGGGGAAGATGGAAGGACGGTTTGGTTCAAATTCTTGCAAAACGTGGAGCTGGGTTGGACTTGGATATTGGCTGGTTAAAAGAAGTTCACCGTTTCGTCGTATAACTGTCTGTAGAGAAAGATTGGTTATTGCCCTGGAGGTATGATTGTAAACCCTGTAATACATACGAAAACAATGGTTTACATGTTGGGTTGAAAAGGTTTGGGATATGAGTTATGGCAATAATGCTTAGAAAATGAAATTGGAAGTTGCTACTATTAAAGGGTTGCTCATCTCCTTAATCAAAGGGTGAGAGCAATCAATCAACATTGGTTTGGAAACAATGTTAGTTAAGGAATGTCTAATTACTTAATGAGTATTAATTTGGAAATGATTACTGTTAACACTACACTAACTATTTTAATTACCGTAAATTATTTTAACGTCGAATGTAACCGTGTAGAACCGTGAAAGATTTATTCGGTTTTAAGAAAATATATTAATATTTATAGTGAAACTATGACCAAATTGTTAATTTGATTTTATAGCGAAACTATATTAAGCTTTAGTGAATAACTAGTAATTTAATGGTAAAAAAATAAGTTTAGTCCTCCTACTCCAGTGTTCAAGTTAAACTATAAAACCCTAATATGTATCTTCGATTCAAACCATCTTATATTATTTTAGATATTTAATTACTAATTGGGAATCAAGTTAATTCGAAAGTTGATATATGTCGATATTGTAACAAACTCACGGTTCAAAAATTGATTTTAATTTTTCCTTTAACATGTATACTATTGACTAGCTTCACCATATTACACTTAGATGTTGCCTTACTTTATTACCATAATCTTGATATTTAACTTGCTTCAAAACTCTTAAACAATATATTTTGGAATTGTCCAGTGTTCAGGCACATTTAACTGTAAGGTTAAGCACACACATCTAGATAATAAATAAAAGCCGAATGATGAAAACTGTTGCTCCATTTCAAATTTCCTGCAACGAGAGTGATTATAGGAAGGACATTTTGGTCTTCACAATTGCTTATTTTCTTATTTATTCATAAAAAAGGCATGCACTGGGATTTGAACCTTGGTCTCTTTAAGGGCAAGCAAGGATCATAACCAATCACACTAAGTATATTTGTTGTATCTATTTAAATTCAAACATACACGAACCGAAATTATGAAAATCATATGACTTTTTTAACGATTAGTTGGCCACTGAATCTCCCGTAAGTACTTATTTGGTGTTTTAATACTTTGATTATTTTAGTTGTAGTTTAATACTTAATTTAAATTTCTATCTATTTTATAAATATACAATAACCCTAAAATTGCAGCCCAAATATCACTGGTTCGAATATTGCATATCGAATTGCAATATTAAACATGTAGAAGCAATATCGACTTCTTAAATTAATATTATTTTTCATAATTACTATGGAGAAATTATATCTTTGTGCAAACTATATGAGACTGGTTCTTTTAATGTTTTAGTCGGGATAACCGCTACATTTTAAACTTCTTCATAATCTGGCATGATTGGATCCAATGATCATTATACAAGATTGTGTTTAATAGGGTGGCTCATTTGACCATTTTTTGGCGTGTTAATGAATTTGTAGGACAATGACAGGTCTACATCTACATCTAGATAATAAATAAAAGCCGAATGATGAAAACTGTTGCTCCATTTCAAATTTCCTGCAACGAGAGTGATTATAGGAAGGACATTTTGGTCTTCACAATTGCTTATTTTCTTATTTATTCATAAAAAAGGCATGCACTGGGATTTGAACCTTGGTCTCTTTAAGGGCAAGCAAGGATCATAACCAATCACACTAAGTATATTTGTTGTATCTATTTAAATTCAAACATACACGAACCGAAATTATGAAAATCATATGACTTTTTTAACGATTAGTTGGCCACTGAATCTCCCGTAAGTACTTATTTGGTGTTTTAATACTTTGATTATTTTAGTTGTAGTTTAATACTTAATTTAAATTTCTATCTATTTTATAAATATACAATAACCCTAAAATTGCAGCCCAAATATCACTGGTTCGAATATTGCATATCGAATTGCAATATTAAACATGTAGAAGCAATATCGACTTCTTAAATTAATATTATTTTTCATAATTACTATGGAGAAATTATATCTTTGTGCAAACTATATGAGACTGGTTCTTTTAATGTTTTAGTCGGGATAACCGCTACATTTTAAACTTCTTCATAATCTGGCATGATTGGATCCAATGATCATTATACAAGATTGTGTTTAATAGGGTGGCTCATTTGACCACTTTTTGGCGTGTTAATGAATTTGTAGGACAATGACAGGTCTACATCTACACTCATCACAATCTACACATCATATAAATGTGAAATGTGAAATGTGAAATGAGAAAAGAGGGATTCCATTTCAAATTTGATGCGTACAGAGCAATTTTTTAGGGGTAAATTTAGAAGATGCCAGTGCGGTCGGTCTGTTGAGCACGAAAGTAAAAATATGTTTTCATTTAAATGGGCCCAACCTGTTATTTGGCCCACTAATCGTGCACCCATCGCCAATGCAGTCAAATTCGGGATTTTGATCGTAAAATCGTAGGGTATTAGGATTTTACTTAGGGATTCCGATCTTGATTTTACTATAAAATCGGTGGACCTTAAAATCGTTTAAAATCGGGACTAAAATCGTTAAAATCGTAAAATAGTACCGAAATCGGGATTTTGATCGTAAGAGAACAAAATAGGTGGTTTGAGCCAATTTAAAATAAGTATAACTGTTTCAGCGGAAAGGGCAATGAATCTTCTCAGATATTTTTCTATTAGAAAAATATTCAAAAATAATAAAAATAACCAAATTAGGGTTCGGTTAATCTCTTTTCCTTCACCCCATTTAACTTATTGGTAAAACACCTGTCCTAATATTGGAAGTATGTAAGAACTAACATCATTATTAACTAATTAATTTATTAATGAATATATTTGTACCAAGCCACTAACATTACTTATTTTATTGGAGTTCAATTATTTTTAGTTTTAAATCATACTTAGTAGACGATGTCGAAATATTAATTTGAGTTAAACAACCTAGACATAACATGAAAATAAGAGCCAAACCCATGAACTATATCCCTTCATCATGAATTATTTTGAGTTACACATTAAATAACAATTAAAATAGTGATTTTGGAACATTAATCTTGAGAATTATCTTATGGAAAAAAAAATCTTCTGAATTATCATTTTAAATGCTATGTGTCTTTGTGATATTAATAATTTACCTTATTAATATTCTTATATGCTATGTTCTATATAGTACTTAAAATCCTACGATTTTACGATTCGATTATACGATTTTGATTTTACCCCAGTTTTGGATTATAGGTAAAATCTCGATTTTAACTGCTTTGCCCATCGCAACCTCTCCAAATCTTCCTATTCTACTCGCCGGGTCATCTCCTCCACTACAAAATATCTCCTCATGTATTCAAAGTTCTCACTGAAACCTAATATCTACAACTTAGGCGTAGAGGGAGCAACCGATGGATTGTAGCGACCCCCACTATTTTGATAGCTAATCAAGAAGAGCGCGTTTGTTTAGTTGTATGGTGATTCACTTAATTAACAATTTTTATTCCGTTGACAGCCTCCTCTCCGCAATTGTATTGTGTTCACGAAGATCTGAAGGCGCAAGTGCAACAGGTCCAGGGATAAACAATATGTATAAAGCGTTGGCCAAATTGAATTGAGTCATTCTACTTGGAATATGAAGATTTTTGCTTAATTGCTTTGGTTCGTGATGCGACTATGTTATGTTTGAAGGTAGACCAACGCAAACAACAGCACAGCTCCAGGGCTATTCTGCACATTAGGTAGTTGGGGCATGAATTGATAATTATTTGGGATTATTCCTACAAGTACATAATTTGGAACGTGCCTTTATATTGCATTGATTAATAGTTGTTTGAGATTTTTCAAATGAGTGATTGGACATGTTAAACTCTCTCATTTTTGAAAATGGAGTCTTCGAAGTGGAATATGAAGATTTTGGATTAAGCTTGGTTTCGTAACGCCCTTATGGGTGTTTATTCTCTAAAATGCAGCTGTCTTTCAAAGTGCCCGTTGCAAATGGCAAGTCAGGATACAACGATGGTACCGGTACACGTTTATATCATTAGTAGGTAGCAGATTGTGTCCATTCTACTATATCATTTAGCTAAATACTTAGTTGTTTTTTTCAACTAAAAATTATGCTTAAATGCTGTGATTGGCCTCAGAAATGTATGTCTTTGCATTAACTGTTAATGATTGTGAGTTTTGGTTTAATGGTGAAAAGTCCATTTATTTAGAAGTCTAAATTGGGCAAACCTATTGGACAATAGGAATGCCATACATTAGTGTCGTGGGAGGTTTGTTTGATGTCTCAGGGTGTTAGATTTTTAAGAAGGTTGTTTGTTGTGGCAGAGAGTCCCTAAAGCTAGCGAGGTATTCCTATGTGGGCTTTTTCTTTGTTTGACTTTTTCTCGCCTTTTTTCTTATCTCTTTTTCTATTTTTGGTTTTTGTGTGCTACCTTCAGTTGCTACGTCTTCATTTGTGAGCCATCTATACTTTTCTTATTCAGTGCCTAAAAATCATATATACTCGATTGCATAGTAGTTACTAATAGATACATTTATACCAATAGAGAGATTTTAAGTTTTATCAGTTGTTAGTTTTAATATTTACTTACATTGGTTGTTTATGTAGTTTTCTTTGTAATATTTCTCATTATACAACTAATTACTATGGCTACGTAGTTGTATAAGTGGGGGTTGGACATGATAGTTCTTAGAAGGATCAATACTTGAAGGTTATTATAATGACCAAATTCTAAAGTTATGGTTTGCCTTCAACTTGCTTGGAGCATTTCAATTATGCATCAATTGTTCTCTCCGTGTAGTTAACTCTCAGACAAATCGAAAATCTTGCTGATATGTGCTTGATTGTAGTTAAATTTAGGGTTCTACTGCATTGTTGCT